CGCTCTCCTGCCCCTTGCCCCTCCCACCCATAGCATTTTGGCCATGTGCCTCTTTGTGCCCCATGCATTGCCAATGCTCTGCTCTGCTCAGTGTTTTGCTCCTGCAGGGGTGCTCCCCTCCCCGTCAAAGCTCGGAGAGCTCACAGCGCTACTCCGGATGCTGCTCCCAGCAGCTGAGGTGGCTTTGGGAGACCCTGGAGCGCTCTCCTGCCCCTTGCCCCTCCCACCCATAGCATTTTGGCCATGTGCCTCTTTGTGCCCCATGCATTGCCAATGCTCTGCTCTGCTCAGTGTTTTGCTCCTGCAGGGGTGCTCCCCTCCCCGTCAAAGCTCGGAGAGCTCACAGCGCTACTCCGGATGCTGCTCCCAGCAGCTGAGGTGGCTTTGGGAGACCCTGGAGGGAATCCAAGCTGTGCAGGGATCAGCTCTGCCTTCCCACCACATGGCACTGTGGGATACTTCCCCACAATGCACTGCTCCCACTGTTGATGACATGATCTGTTAACAGAGAGAGGAAATGAAAACACCCTCTGGTGATTTGTGTTTTGTTGACTTTTGGATGAACGCTGATGCCCAAATCGACCTGTTAGTCTCTACGGTGCCAATGGACTCCTCGTTGTTTTTGCAGATACAGACTAACATGGCTATCCCTCTGCGACACACATTTTGTTGTCAAAACTTGGGAGTGTAGACATACCCTGAATGTCACACTGTGATACGACGTGTTTAAGGACTCTGAGGCTATGTCTACACTGGCACATTACAACGCTGTAACTTTCTGGCTCAAGGGTGTGAAAACACACCCCCACACCCAAAGTGCAGCAAGTTTCAGCACTGTAAAGTGCCAGTGTGAACCAGGTTACAGCGCTAGGAGTGGCAGTTCGCTACTTCCTTCGAGGAGATGGTTTACAAGCCTTGGCCACACTTTCAGTTTAAAGCGCTGCTGCAGCTGCACCTGAAACCTTTAAGTGTGGACAAAGCCACAGTGCTTTAGAAAACTCACACACTGTGCTTCTCCATTTCCTCAGGAAGATGGGACCAACTCCACCTGCTGTCATCGGCAACTGGGGTCTGACTCCAGCACCACTCCCCCAGAGAGACTCATGCGGGTCTCCCCCCAGGCGATCACATCCCCCTTCAGCTCACCCTGCCTGCACAAAGCAAGTGCTCGAATGTCGGCGTGACTGAGGATCCAGCTCCACAGGCTGAGGTGGCTCATCCACCCGGAGAACCCGTTGGAGAAGATTCCAAGGAGCTCATCTCTGTCTTTCCCAAGGACGAGCGTCCCGCCAGCCTGGGTCTCGTACCCTCTCTGGAGGTGCTTCTCTCTTCCCACGGCGCCGTTGATCCACAGATGGGCTGCCCCAGAGTGGGAAGCCCATGTCACGCAATAGTGGAGCCACTCCTCAGATGTGTGGTGCAAGGGGAACTCAACAGAGTAGCCCCCTACCCACAACTCCACCGCAGAGCCCACAGTCACCAACAGCTCGTTGTCTCTTTCCTGGGTGCTGTAGGAGAGAACGGTCTGACTGCCTTGGTTCTGGGCGTGGATCCAAAAGCACAAGGTGAAGGAGAGGAGCTGCATGCTGCGGAGGGGCCGGACGGTCACGTAGCTGATGATGTTTTCAGCAGGGAAGTAGAAAGCAGGGAAAGCACTAGATTTATGGCCTGAAATAATCAATAATACTCTCAGCCATTTTGAAGACATGCTCTCCTGTGTCTCTACATTGGGTTGCCAGGTGTCCGGTATTCACCCGGACAGTCCAGTATTTTCACCTCCTGTCCGGTAAATAAAATTCAGAAAATACAGGACACCTAAATACCCCCCCCCCCCGCAAGGAGGTGAAAACGTCGGGCACCTGGCAACCCTACAAACACTCAACACCCAGCCTGTGTCCCCCCCAAACGGCTCCCTCGGCCCCCAACACCCTCCAGCTCTCCGACCCCAGACTTACCTCGTTCTGCAAGGTTGCCGGCACAAAATGGCTGCTAGCAAAAAGACCAAGGGGAAGCAATGACTCCCCTGGGTCTTAGTGCTCAACCTCTCCCCTGTTCCTATCGCTGCACTCTCTCTTAAAGGGGACATGCTGTTTTAATGCTGGGTTTTTTTTGTTTGTTCATTTGTTTTTGCTTAAGTCTTGGAGTCTGTTGGGTTTTTTTTGTGTGCTCAACAACTTTGGTCGCCCCCGCCTTTTTTTTTTCTTCAACAGAATTTTTTCCTGGTGTTTTTTTGGGGGCGGGAGGGGGGGCAGGTGTTCGATATTTTTGTTTCAACCATTTGGCAACCCTATCTCTACAGGGCAGCTGTGGGCCCAATACGCAAGCTGCATTCAGGCCCACCGATGAGGGGAAGGGGGCAAAGAGGGCAACTGCCCTGGGGTTTGGCAATTCACAAGGGCCTGGGGCTCCCAACCACTACTGCATAAGCAGCAGCCAGAGTCCCGGGCCCTTTAAATCGCTGCTGGAGCATTGTGTGGTGAGCTGTGGGTGGCTCTGAGGGCTGCCTCGGGGCGGGGGGGGGGGGGGGGGGAACGTGGCATGCTCCAAGCAGCACTGAGGGCTGGCTGTCCCAACCCCGCCCCTTCTGCCTGAGGCTCCACCCCTTTTGAGAGCACTGGGTTGGAACACTACCCCACCCGACCCGTCGCTTGCCCAGGGGCCCAGCATTCCTATAGACCTCCTTCCCCCTCAGCTGCATTGGCAGAGCTATGCCAGAGTCCTAGCTGGCTTTGGCTATTATGACTTGTATTATCTTCAGCATCTTGAAAGTGCATGCAGCACTTTACCCCAAACGCTTTAACATCCAAAGGCCTGACTTAGAAGGGCTGAGAAAGGTGGACTGATACCATCAGAGCTGAGCAAAAAGTAGTGAAGAGCTTTCATTTTAAAAAAATCCAGAAAACTGCGAATACATTTTGTTCCACAGGTTTTGTTGAAATTGAATGAATGAAAAATAGTTCTTTTTCAATTTGTGCAAAAAACATTATTTTAAAAGTCAGTTTTGTGGGTTTCTTTCCCCCTACTCCTTTCATTCCTTCCTCTTTTATAAGATCCCCCTCCCCTGTCCCCTTATTCATTTTGCTGGTGAAAAGAGAAGAGTGGAAGAAAGGGGAAGGAGCCTTCTCAAGTCAGAGCTGGGTTCATTTTTTGGCTCGGTCACTGACTTATTTTTGGGCAAGTCATTTAATGCTCCATGCCTCCATTTTCCCCATCTGTAAAATGGGGATAATAATACTCGATTCTGCCATACTGATGCTCTGGGTTTTAATTCTTTAATGTGCTGATTTCTGGAGCCAGCAGAGTAGGGTGAGGAGAGGCTACTAGCTGGCTGTCAGCTGGATTTAAGCTCACTTATGCTGTGATTGATAGAAACTCGCCAGTGGGACCCTATAAGGGCCTGGTTCTAGTCATATTTCTATGCAGCACCCACTGACGCTGAGGGCAGAGCTATTGTGGGCTCCTCCTTGGGGGAGAAAGGGATGGTGACTTCTTGTGCAAGTGAAATTCATTGAAACAGAAGTGGCTGGAAGTTTCTTACTTGTCATGCCCCCTCCAGCCAGCAGATGCTTCTTCATCTCCTGGATCTGTGTGTGTATTTGCTCCAGTTTTGAGTTGAGTTCTTCTGGGAGGCAGCGTTCTAGATGGGGGAGAGAATAGCAATCACTGATACACACCCATTCATGGTTAGCTGGGATATTTCTCCTCCATCCAAACACCAGGAGCTTTGGAGGCACCTCTCTTTTACACTGAGGTCTGTTTCCCCTGTATAGTGGTTGGGATGGAGAACTGTTTGAGTGGGTAGTCATTCCTGCGACAGGGCCTCACCTTTGCCTTCTGTTCAGAGAACAGTGGCAAAACTGCCACCATCTGATGAGAACCAACAGGCCAAGGTCTGCACCCATTGACAACAGGCATAGGCATGCGCACAGGGTGTGCCTAGGCACACCCTAATGTCTCGGGCCAGCTAGCGGCTGCTGGAGGAGAGGAATTTGTGACGGGACGCCGCAAACGCTCACTTTAAATTCCCTACAGCCATCTACGGGGCACTGTGGGGCAGAGAGAGCGCATGCGCGGCGTGCTGAAACGCCGCGCAACAGGTGAGACACCCGGCCGTGGTGTAACGTCACAGCCCAGGACTTTCAAACCATGCGGCCCAGCTCCACAAGCAGCTGAGGCCCGACTACAAATGCTGGCCGGCCCGAGCCATTTTTGCGCTCCGGGCCCCGCAGCATCGCCTCTTATGCACCTGGGGGTGCCCCTGCCCAGCCCAGCAGCACTACGTGGCCCCCCTGAGGCACCTCCCCCCGGCCCGGCAGCACCGCGTGGCCCCCCCAGCGATGCCAACCATGCGGCCCAGCTCCACAAGCAGCTGAGGCCCGACTACAAATGCTGGCCGGCCCGAGCCATTTTTGCGCTCCGGGCCCCGCAGCATCGCCTCTTATGCACCTGGGGGTGCCCCTGCCCAGCCCAGCAGCACTACGTGGCCCCCCTGAGGCACCTCCCCCCGGCCCGGCAGCACCGCGTGGCCCCCCCAGCGATGCCTCCGCTCGGCAGCACTGCATGGCCCCCCCTGAGGTGCCCTGGGGATGCTCCATGGCCCCCCTTGAGGTGTCCCCCCCCAGCCCTGCAGCACCACGTGGTGCCCTGGGGCCCCCCCTGCCCGACCCGGCAGCACCGCACGGCACCCCGGGGGCGCCCCAGCTAGGGCCTGGGCGGCCTGTAGCTTGGGCCAGCTCTGACTCCAGCCCCGCAAATTGGAAGGTAGAAGCCGAAGGTAAAGAAGGGTAGGGGAGGGCAGGAGGAAAAATAAGAGGAAGGGGTGGGAGAGGAAGGGGATTGTGCTGAGGGGAGAGGTGCTATGGGGAGGGGGGCTGAGGGGAGGGAAAAGCGCTAAGGGACAGGGTAGAGGAGAGGCAAATGCCAGTGGGCCAAGTGCAGACAATGAGGGAAAGGGCAGGAGGGGAGGTGTCAGTGGGAGGGGGGACAGGGTGATGCTGGGAGAGGAGAGGGTAAGGACTTTGGGGGCTAGAGGGGAGAAGGGGAGGTGCTGGGAGAAGGCTTGAAAGAAAGGATGGGCATGAGGAAGGCAGGGATGGAGCAAGGCATGTGTGAGGGCACAGGGGCATGAGGGGAATGGGGCAGGAGTTGGTGAGGGGGTGGGCATCAGGAAAAAAGGGGGCAGTGGCAGTAAGAGAAGGGGGAGGCACCAGGAGAGTGCAAGGGTAAGGGAAGGTGCAGGTGCCAGGGGATTCTAGGGGTGAAGCAGAAGGGCAGACACCTGCAGGGGAGGGACCAGCACCAGAGGAGAGAGGCAGGGCAGGTGTGTAGAGGGAGGTGTTAGGAGAGGGGATGAGGAGGAGTAGCTCACATGATCAGAGTGGGGCTACTGGAGGAGTAGGCTTTTGCGCAAGAACAGATGCGCAAAAGGGCTTATTCCTGAGCAGGAGCATCATAGTTCTTGCGCAAGAAGCACTGATTTCATACATTAGAACATCAGTGTTCTTGCGCAAGAACTCGCAGCCAGTGTAGACAGGCAGCAAATTTTGGAGCAAAAGTGGCTGCTTTTCCGCAAGATCATGCTAATGTAGACACAGCCTGAGATGGAACACTTCCCCCAGCCTCTACGCCCCCCCAAGTTAATGTCACACACATTGGGTTAATGCAATTGCAGGATAGTTGCATGAGGGCGGTTTGGTGGGGGCCAATCGAATCTCTATTGGTAGGAGGATGGTGGGAAAAGTCCTTGGGGGGGGGGTCACATGACACCTTTTGGTCATGTGTTCATCTTGCCCAGAGAGTGTTACCTCCAGAGGTGTGGCCAGTGGGGGTCAGGAGCATGGCTAAGAGGGTCCGGGGTGTGGCTAATGGGGGTCAAAATACATTTTAAAAACATTCTTTGGGTGCACACCCTAATGAAATGTGCTGCGCACACCTATGACAACAGGGTGTCTTACCCCAGACTTCCAGGTGACCAGGTGCTTAGCTACACTACAGATGGCCTGGCAGTAGGACTGTACTGCTACAGGCATGCTGGCAGAGCCCCCTGGTGGAGTTGCAGAATAAGCTGACAGAAGGGGGTTTTGGAGCAGCTCTTATAAACCATCTCCCAACACCACATTAGCTAAGCCAACAGAACCACTCTTCTACTAGAACAGTTGCATATACATGGAGAATTTTGTCAGCATAGATGTGTTGGCTAGGAGGTGCCATTCTTCCCCCCACCCGTCTAGTTACCATGTCAGCAAAACTTGTCTTTGGATTTGGCTTGTGATTGTTTCTCCCTGGCTGTGGATCCTTCTCTCCTTCTCTTAAACTGCACAAAGCATTCCACAGTACGGCTTGTCTGAAAAGCACTGAGCAAAGGTAAGTTGTCTAGTGGCCTATGAACCTGGAGAGCGATTTTTAACCGGTGTCTGAGATTGTGTCAATGTTAGTTTATTGATAATGTTCTTCCCACTGATTTGCTTTTATCGGGAAGAGAAGGGTCAAAGGTGCTGGGAGACAGGTCCAAATCTACGCCCCAGCAAACACTGGCTCTTGCACAACAGATGGTGATGCATTGCACAGCCTCCAAACTCTCACAAACTCAGGGTTATGCAAGATCTCATTTCCAGACACATCCTGCCTTGCCCCTCGCTGCTGTAGAATGGGCAGAGTTCAAGCTGCAAGGGGCTCAATATGCAAAAAGCTCTAAAAAATAATCCCTGATTGTGGGTGCTCAGTCAGGGATGCTGCGGTGACTTATCCTCACCTGTGCTAGGGAAGGGTGGTTTAATAGGCAAGGGGCTAGCATGAGACTCAGTTTTCCTGCTTTGCCACCCACAGACTGTGTGACCTTGGGCAAGTCATTTAGTCTGTATGCTTCAGTTTCCAGGGGCTAAATGGGGATAATATTTCCTTACGTCTGTGAAGGGGCACAACAGCCCCAGACTGGTACTGTGAGGGTTAATTCCTCTCTTTGGGCCAAGGAGGCCACGCCCCCATGGCTCCGATGAGCATGCTCCAGCTGGGGACCAGCTATAAAAGGTAGTAGCTCAGCTCATACAGGGCGGATGGCTGGTGGGGCAGGATTTGTGGTGGAGGTGTCTGCAGAAGAACTGTTATTATCTGGGCTGGAAAGATCTGTGTGCCTTTGAAGCCAAGAACCCAGGGAGGATCCACTCTGTGGAGGAGCTCAGTGATTCCAGCAGCCCATGGATGGCAGCCTCAAGACATAGGGTATGAAGTGACCGAGAGGAAATGGTACCTCTCACCCCAGGAAGTCTGTGTGTTGTGGTTGGACTCCTCATTCGCCCTGTGGTGGACCACCCCTCTGTTAAGGCCCTGTGGGCGGGACCCAGGAGAAGAAGGCCACGGTAACCAACTCTGGCCACTAGGCTGTGCTGCCCTGAAGGCTGACTACTGAAACTGATTTAGGCCTTCAGGCTTTGGTGTCCTGTGTAAGGAGGGGACCACAGGGAGAATAAATGTCCCCTCCACATTCCAGGTGGGAATGGGGCACATCAGCCCTCGACAGCTTCACACAGCACTTGTGTGGATCAATCTGTTAAAGCTGTGTTTCTTAAACTGTGTTCCGTGGCACACCGGTGTGCCGCGAGGCAGTCGGAGGTGTGCTGCTGAAAACAGAATTCAAAAGGGCTGCCCTTAAAGGGGCAGGCAACCTTTTTTTCTTTTCCTCAATAACTTTCCCCCTGACCCTTTTTTCCCCCTGACTTTTTTTGGTGTTCTTCATTTAAAAAAATATTGTTTGGTGTTCCTCAGTCTTAAAAAATTTAAGAAACACTCTGTTAAAGACTGAGGTGCTCAGGTACTCCAGTGATAGGAACCCATGAGTACTCCAGATAGATCATGTTGTTTCTGCTTGTAGATATTGGAGGTGTTGTGGCAATTGGATATGATACACCCCTGCACCTTTTCTGACACAGGGTCTGAGGGTATCATTAACCCTGCCTTGAGTGTGGAAAATCTTGGGTTGTCCTGCATAACAGATGACAAACTAAACTCACCTGAGATGGTTTCTCCCGCCTCACCTGCAGGCCTGCGCCCACCTCGAGGTGCCCCTTGAATGCCATTTTCTGTCCCAGGTACCTGTCCCAACCCTGCCCTGTTCTTACCTGTGGTGCCTTTGGCCTTGAAAGAGGATTCCACCACTCGGCTGTGGAGAGGCTGAGTGTGGCGGTAATCGTTCCGCAGGGTGTTGTTCTGCCAGTCCAGCAAGGTGTTCTCCAGCAGTGAGATCTTTAAGCAACAGGCACTTGTTACGGTGGGAGAAATGGGGGGGGCTAGTTCTTTTAAAGAAAACAGCCCCCCCCCCCAGACAAAGAGAGCGGTGCCTACAGAGCGTGTTGAATAAGTCCTTGCATTGCAGTGCTAGGTAGAGGCTGTCTAAGCTATAGCTGGAAGTGAGCCTCCCCATCCAGCTTGGCAGACTCGTGCCAGCTTGACCTGAGCTAGCACGCTAAAAATTGCAGGCTGGACAGTGAGGCTCTGGGGCTCAGACTGAGGGTCCCAGGTGGGCTGGCGAATCTACTGGGCTGCACCAGCCAGGTGGCTATTTTTTGTGTGGGAGTCTGTTGCCGGGGTTGGGAGGTGCGTTCCCAGCGGCCCTGTCTCGAGGCCCAGAAGGAGGGTGTTGCAGTGTCAGAGCTGAGGTGCATAAGCCAGGGGCAGGGACACAGGAGTAGAACAGCAGGAGCACTTCACCTGCCAGACTGCACTGCAGGGGCTGAAGGAAGTGTGAGGGGAAGTTGTTCTGACACTCATCCAGGCTAGGCATGTGCTGAGGATTTCCCAATGAGACCTATTTCCTTTAATCACAACAGCCAGGGGGGTCTTCCAACATTGGAATGCAAGACCCTTTATTGAGATGTAAATTAATCTCAATCACACACATACACCCATTCCTGTCTCTTAAAGAGGAGGTTGCACCTACCATTATTAGCCTAGGGAAATTAATTCATTTTAAACTCCTTGCCATTCTCAGAATAGTGATAGAAATGTAGCCGTGTTAGTCTGGGGTAGCTGAAGCAAAATGCAGGACAATGTAGCACTTTAAAGACTAACAAGATGGTTTATTAGATGATGAGCTTTCGTGGGCCAGACCCACTTCCTCAGATCAAATAGTGGAAGAAAATAGTCACAACCATATATACCAAAGGATACAATTTAAAAAAAATGAACACATTCTCAGCATATTCTGAATGGTATCCTTCCTGCCTTATCCATCCACTGACTTTGATTTTTATCTACTCAGGGTTAGCACCCTTTCTCCGTATACTTCATGCATAGAGGTAGGGGGGGTGGGCAACAGAACATCTTTCTCCTCCCCCCCTTCTCTTCTATTTATTTTGAGTTTCCTTATCCTCTAATCATAATTCCGGTCATCTGAAGAAGTGGGCTGTGCCCACGAAAGCTCATGATACCATCTACATGTTTTGTTAGTCTATAAAGTGCTTCCAGACCATTTGCTTGCTGGTTTTTTTCAGCATATTGCTGTTGCTTATGCTGAGTCTCTGCCTTAGGCTAAATGCCTTGGCAGGCAGATTCCTGTCCTTCCTGAAGGGTTTGGTCACCATAGGAGGTTCAGGCACCACTTGTAATCACTCATCAATAGATCCCCTTTGTATGCAGAGTGGAGTCATCAGCTCAGCATAATAAAGCCTGCCCCAGCCACTAGCTAAAAGAATGCCTCCATTGACACACGGCAAATATTAAACAAGAAAATGTTCTTTGTCTATAAATGCCAGTTATTATGCTGTAATTATCTTCAATCTGATCCCAGGGACCTGCTGGTCCCCAAATTCCTGATGCTCCTGGCTTTGTAATCAGCCAAGACTCGGCCTTAGCCATTTGGTTGGCTGGCTCTGGCTTCTTCCTTGCTGTTTTTATTTCTGTTGGGTTCTCACAATGTTGCATTTAACTGAGCAAGGAGCTTTGTTCCGCCTTATCAAACATCAGCCACTCTGCTGTGCTGTTGCAGAGAGAGTCTCCGCTAGACCAGCAGTTCCCAACCTTTTCCAGATGAGGATCCATTTTGACAATTCAGGAAGACTTGGTGACCCAAGGCAATTAAAAAATGGGGGGAGGAGAGAGGGCAGAGCCACCTGGGGAGACGCTTGGGGACCCTTTTGAAATGTAATGGTGACTCATATTTGGGTCCCGACCCATAGGTTAGGAAACCATGGTCTAAACCAGTGTGTGATCTTTGTGTAAACCAGTGTGGCTACAAGATGCGTCTGCAGCTGGCAGTCTTGCACTGCTATGTTGTCTGGGAGAAAGGTTGAGAAGTGCTCTAGCTTGAATAGAAACATCACACATGTATGCCAAGGCTGAATTTGGCCTAGAGGAGTTAGAGATTGGATAACCTCAGACTAGAAACCCTTTCAATTAGCAGTGGCTGCTTAAACAGCAGATGAGAGCATATGAGCAGGGACCATCTAATTCCAAAAGGGCCAGTCATGGCCCTATGATTTATGTCATTTTTATACTAGGTTGATTTTCATTCCTGTTCGTAAATAAGTCACAGAAGCTTTTCTGCCATCTTAGATTACAATGTTTGCTGGAAGTGTTGAGCCAAACACCGTGTGCATGATATGGTCCAGGGTGCTTTGCAAATAGATGGATCCTCACAAACACACTCTCAAGTAGTTCAGTGTTTTCTAAATCATTGGCAGGCCTAGAACAGTGGTTCTTAGCTAGGGGTACACATACCCCTCGGGTTATACAGTGGTCTTCCAGAGGTACATCGACTCATCTAGATAGATGCCTAGTTTTACAACACGCTACCAAAAAAGCACTAGCCAAGACAGTACAAACTAAAATTTCATACAATGACTTGTTTGTACAGCACTGTAAACTGTACTCTGAAATGTAAGTATAATAGCTATAGTCCAGTTTGATTTATTTTATAATTATATACTAAAAATGAGACAATCTGCATTTTTTCAGCAATACTGTGCAGTGACACTTGTATTTTTATGTCTGATTCTAGAAGCACATAGTTTTTTTAAGTGCAGTGTACCTTTGGGGACATGCAAGCCAAATCAGACTCCTGAAAGGGATACAGTTGTCTGGAAAAGTTGAGAGCAACTGGCCTAAGGAACCAAGGCAAAGAGAGATGAAGGCTGTGCAGGGAGTCAGTTGCAGAGCTGGCCCCTCCAAGGCCTGGCAAACGTTATTTGTGCTACATCCCATGAGGCCGGTAAGTATTATTACACTGAGTCACTGTCAGAACCAGCATTAGAATGGGGGGGGCTCCTGGTTCCGAGCAGTATACTCAAACCACTGTGCTGCACTACCTCTCTCATCCAGTGTGACTACCTGAGTATTGATAATCCTAAATCTATTTGCCAATGGTCAGCTTCCCAGAGTCTCAGGTGTAAGGCTACTGGCTGGCACAATTGAAGCATTGGTCATCACACTTCAGTACGGGGAACACACTGAAGCAAATGGCCTGTCACCATCTGGATCCAGCCCCAGCTTCCTGTGCAGCCAGGCAAAAGACAGAGAGGGATAAACCTCCTCGCTCTTCCCAAGAACAAGAGAGGGCAAGGATGAAAAATGCCCCCACATCAGGCATGAGCAATGGCTAGTGGCTAGAGCAGGGACTTATAAATCAGAACGCCTGGGTTAAGATCCATAGATTAACAGTGCAGCCTTGGGCAAGTTACTACTTCCTGCTGTGCCTCAGTGACCCATCTGTAAAATGGGATGATGTTTCCCTGTCTTGCATAAAGGGAAGCTATGTTCATTCCTGCCTGTAAAGCACTGTGACTTTCCTGGACGGAAGGCCTTACAGAAGGACTGAGTAGTATTATCTCAAGACATTACTACAGCTTTGTGCTCCTTTGTGACTTTATTCATTTACAAAATGCCATGAAGATGCACACACATCCACAGGGCCCTGCAAAGCTGCAAATAATGGCCCCAGCTCCCTGGAAAGCACCAGACCATGTCTTAAAGTGTCTTAAAAAGGAGTGTCTGCGAAGGAGCAGAAATAAATTTAAGCAGCCTGCCTGGAAGGGGATGACTGCCCAGGATAGGTATAGTGTGCTCTAGGTGCTAAGGCTGCTTGGGGATGCTAGCCCCAGCTCTGCCCTTCCACTTGAGGCGGTCTTCCAGGAGCATGGAACCACCCTCCTTCTTGCTAGGCTCCTGTCTGTCACATCTGGCAGGCAACAGAGGGGGCCTTACCTGTGTGTGTGACAGGATGATGGGAGAGTCAAAAACTGTCCAGATCACACTTTCAGAGCAAGGTGGTGTGGTCAGCGAGCCGTGATATCTGTAGAAGTGCGAGAGGTTTTCAGGCAGCATGGCTTGGACATCCAGTGAACTGAGCTTGGTTGATTGCCCTACAAAGGAAACAAGCAACATACAGACACAAAATGACCAAGGAGAAGAAAGCAGACCAATCCTAGCTCCTATGGCCAGATGATTGACAAGTCACTTCCCATAATGCACCAGGGACTATGCTACTGACAGAGTCAAGCACAGACACGCTGACAGGAGCTGACAGCAAACAAACTTTCTGTCTGAGGAAAAATTCTGAAAATTTTGAAAAAAAATTAATTCCAAATCAAGATGAAAATTTAGACTTTTTTCATGAAATAATCTTCCAAAAATTAATTTCAGGCCCTTGAAATAATTTCATTTCAATAAATGCAAAAATCATTTATTTATGTTTTTCAATCTTTTCTATTTTTATACAAAATTTCAAAACAAAAAAGGCAAAATGTTTTTTGGCCTGAAAATGTTGCAAAGAGACATTTTGATGTTTTTAAAATAGATTTTCTCCAATGTTTGTAAATGACATTTCCTCAAAATGGATACTAACTCTCACCCCACCATTTCAGTTTTGTTGAAAGGTCACGTTCTGATGGAAAACCTGTTTCAATCAAAATTTTCTACCAACTCTAGTCGGTGTAGCACCTAGCATAGTGAGGCTGGGGTCCATATGTGCTGCCCCTAATAGAGATAAATAACAATCATACTTGACAAGCTGATGTAATAGCTCTCTTCCTGCTCTAGGCACTTTTGAAAATAAAAACCACACTAGATAGGGCCAGGTATTAAGAATATTTTTTTTATGATTCTGGACATTACAAGGTCCCTATGGAATGTGCCCTAAAGTAATGGTGGGGGTATGTGGACTGAGAACCAGTTTGGTGTTTTTCTAAAAGACCTGATTACATAGGTGAATCACCACCTGCCCATGCAACTCAGCTCAGGACAGCCCCAAACTTATAGCCCAGTATATTGTGCAAGGAGGTTGTATTATGCATATTGCCTTTTTTGCATACTGCAGCTTTTTTTTTTTTTTTTTTAAAGACACTTTATTTTCTCTAGTGGAGTCACAGAAGTCTTTCCCCTGAACAGGCTGTCATGGATTGCTTAAGACTAGCAGGATGATTCTGCAATCAGCACCATTGTTTCTGGTGTGCGTGAAGGAGAGAAGTTAGAGGTATGTGTTCGGGGGTACTAGGTTACCTAGTTATTTAACTGGGGGAGCTGGCTTTGTCTTTATCTGCAAAACCAATGAGGAGGAGTCCTGTGGCATCTTAAAGACTAAGGCTGTGTCTAGACTGGCAAAATTTTGCGGAAAAACTTGCCAGCTGTCTACACTAGCTGATTGAATTTCCGGAAAAGCACTGATGATCTAATGTAAAATCATCAGTGCTTTTCCGGAAAAACTATGCTGCTCCCGTTCGGGCAAAAGTCTTTTTCCAGTTTTTCCGAAAGACTTTTGCACAAAAGGGCCAGTATAGACAGCATAGTACTGTTTTCCACAAAAAAAGCCCCAATCGCGGAAATGGCCATCGGGGCTTTTTTGCTGAAAACCACGTCTAGATTGACCACGGACGCTTTTCCGCAAAAAGTGCTTTTGCAGAAAAGCATCCTGCCAATCTAGACGAGATTTTTCCAAAAATGCTTTTAACGGAAAACTTTTCCATTAAAAGCATTTTCGGAAAATCATGCCAGTGTAGACGTAGCCTAACAGATTTATTTGAGCATATGCTTTCATGGTCAAAAAACCACTTTGTCAGATGCATGGAGTGGAAATTAGAGGCAGGCATATCTTTGCAGGTATATTTATGCCTGCCTCTGTAATTTCTGATAGCTCTGCGTGACCTCTGGCTCATGGGACAGCTGACCTGGTCCTTAAAATCAGGCAAATAATATTCCCAATCTCCTACATGATTCATCTACCAGGCAAAGATCTAGCTGACCTAATCCATCAGAATGAGACCGATATTCCTCAGAGGGGGTAGCTGTGTTAGTCTGTAACTTTAAAAATGAGTAGTCCTGTGGCATTCTGTGTCTACACAGCAGTGTTAGTTCAGAATAACAGCCGTTATTCCGAAATACCAATGCAAGTGTCTACACAGCAATTCTGCTATTTCTAAATAAATTTGAAATTACAGATGGTTTATTCCAACTTCTGAAAACCTCATTCCATGAGGAATAACGCCTATTCCAAAATACCTAGTGTGGACGCTCCACTACTGCTATTTCAAAATAGCTCCTCCCCAGGGCCATTCAAAGTAGTCACTCCCCAGTGCCTCCTGGGGCTCTAAATCGAGGTAGCATGTCCACATTAGGGAAGCCTGCCTTGGATTAATTTTGAGGCTTCCCTGTAGTGTAGATGTGCTATTTCAAAATAAGCTATTTCGGAGTATTTCTTCTGGAATAGCTTACTTCAAAACAAGCATGCAGTGTAAATGAATCCTTAGAGACTGCCAAAAATATAGATAGTATCATGAGCTTTCATGGGCAAAACCCCCTTCTTCAGATGAGCTTGAGTAGAGGGGGGAAAGGGGGACCCTCAGAATAAGTAACAGGAAAAAAAAAGGAGAGGGGAAAGAAAAAAAAAAAAACTGTCAAATGTAGTGCCCGTGCTAATGAGGTTAGTTGAGTGGGCTGGAAGTGTCCCATACTTAGCTTTTGATGTCAATGGAGTGTTGAATGTAAGGAAAGCTGAAGTGTTAATCCAGTTCAAGTCTGTTCAGGCCAAGGAAAATCATGTCCAATTTGCATATAAAGGTCAGTTCTACACTCTCTCTCTCTCTCTCCGTAGTTGGTTTGTGAAATTCCATTTTGCCATGTATATTGGCCAGATTGGACAGTCTCCATGACAAAGGATTAATGGACACAATTCAGACATTAGAAATGGTAACACACAGAAACCTGAGATGGAATATTTTAACCTGACTAGGCATTCATTCATAGATTTAAAAGTAGCCATTCTTCTATCATTAGCCATTTTCTAGAGTAGATTGGAAGGGAACCAGCTGCTGTGGAATTGGGTATTGGCCCAAGTATTGAATTGGGTAGAAAAGGTTCACAGAACCCAGGAGTGACTCTCACATGGGTTCAGTTTCACCTGCAGAAATCATGAAACCAAGTGTGGGTGTGTGTGTGTGTGTGTGTGTGTGTGTGTGTGTGTGTGTGTGTATATTAGTCTCTGAGCTAGGGATGTAAGAAAGTAGTCGACTACCTGATAAGCCTACTACTCTCTCTCTCTCTCTCTCTCACACACACACAGAGGCAGCAAGGGGGGTGGGAGGAAGGAGCCAGTTCCCCCTCCAGCACTGTCGCTGTGGTGCCACTTGCTCTGCCCCATGGTGCTGCAAAGGTCGGGGGTGGAGGCAGGGGAGGTTGCTGTGAAGCAGCCTCTGCCCACTGGGGGGGTCTAGGCTTGCTGTGGGCAGAGGCTGTTCCACATCCTACAGACGGGGCTGCTGGACCTGGCGTGAGCGGCGAATGAGCAAGCAGGCTCAGTCCCAGCTCATGCGGGCAGCTACCTCTGCTTCAACTCTGCATTTTAAATGTAGCAATAGTCGGGTGGTTCTTACAACATTTATAATGCAGAGCAGCAGCAGTCCCAGAGCAGGTGTGAGCTGGGACTGAGCCCGGCTTGCTCAGTCCTGATTCATGCCAGATCTGGGACCTACCCTCGCTGCCACTCTGCAGTAAATATAGGAGCCAAGCTGCCTGCACGCCCAGCTCCTACTACATTTAAACTGCAGATCCACAGCAGGAGTAGCTCCTGGACCTGGCATGAGCCAGGACAGACCACCTTTCCTTATCGACTAATCATGCAGTCAATACAAATTGTATCAACTACACAATTAGCCACTTACCCACCTCTTAACATCCTTACTCTGAACCCTGGTCTATACTAGGGAGTTATTTTGAAACAATGCCCCTTATTTCAAAATAACAAGCAAAGTGGCCACACTACCAAGCCTGTTATTTCAAAATAAGGGGCTGGTTATTGCAAAATAATAACTCCTGCTTTCCACAAGGAATAACCATTATTTTGAAATAATTATTTCAAAATAGCAAAAGTTTAGATGCTCCAGAGCTGCTGTTTCGAAATATTTACTCCCCAGAGTCAATCAAAGTAATTGCTCTGCAGTGCTTCCTGGGGCGCTAAGTCAAGTTCGTGCATCCACATGAAGGCTGCATCTACACAGCACCCTAAACTCGAAATAATTTGTGCTATGCAAATTGGGTATCTTATTCCGAATCTGTTTTGAAATTTGGTTCATCTACACAGTGTCAAATTTTGAAATAACGGGCTATTTTGAGATATTCCTTAACTCTCATGGAATGAGGGTTACTGGGATGCCAAAATAGCACGCCCGTTATTTCAAAAAATATTTTGCAATAACAGGCAGCTTGTATAGACATGGAGTAGCTATTTCAGGATACCTCTGGTATCCCAAAATAACTGTGCAGTGTAGACACACCATAAGGGAGCCTGCCTTAAGGGATTAATTTTGAGGCTTCCCTGTAGTGTGAACACGCTATTTCAAAATTATTATGTCAGGATTTATTTCAAAATAATTTCCTAATGTAGACATGCCCTAAGGTGCCACAGGACTACTTGTTGTTTTTACAGATATTCCTGTTCAGCCAGCCTGCCCTGCCCTCAATCCCTTATGCTGTCTCCCGCTAGGGCCTGCCCTACCCAGTTCTTACAAGTACTGGTTTTTTGGATGACAAGAATGAAGGAGTGTGAGGGACTTACCTGCAAACCTGATTTTGGCCAGTTTGGAGATGAAGTCACTGTAGTAGGTGTTCTCAAAATTCCCATCCTAGAAAGAGAACAGGGCTTGATGAATCAAATGTATAAAAGTCAACCCAGAACCAGCGGTAGGTCAGTTCATCTTGTGAGAGTCACCGAGGCAGGAGCTCCTGAAGCCAAATACTATAGCAAGATTGCTTAAGGAATTGGATTTTTTGTATGAGCTATAACCACACTTGTAGTTATGGATCCTGAAGGTGGAAGCCTGCACTGAATAGCACAAGTGTGCTAGGGGGTTAGAGGTGCAGGCCTCCTCCTGTATGTCCTCTTACATTAACACAAGCATCCTAGTTGTCTCTGATATGTTAGGTGGGGGAAACTGAGGCACAGAGATGCTAACGGTGACACTGTCAAATGTTGGGAATATGAGGTTGGGCACCTAAGTTAGTATCTAAGCATCTAAATAACTAGCTAGATTGTCAGGTACCAGTGACTTTCATAAGATTTGTGGGTGCTTTCAGCACTGCTGGCAAGCCAGTTATGACTCAAAAATTGCCTCTGTAAGGAGTGAGTTAGATTCCCATTGCTAAGCAACTGCATCTGGAAAATCTGTGCCTAAGGTCCTATACCCTTTTTGACCCTACATAACTCACCCGAGCTCAGTGCATGAGCTGGAAGTGAAACTCACAGGCCCTGCCCCAACCCTGTCCCACTGCTCTAAACACTAGACTAGACCACATTGTCCTCCCAACTCTATAAACAGAACCCAGGAATCCAGACTCAGTCCTGGCTGCTCTAATCACTAGGCACTGCTCCCCTTTTCCCTCCCCAGCTGGGAAGAGACTCCAGGAATCTTGATCCACCCTTTCCCCCCAGCCTCTGATCAATGCCTCTCCTGAACTGTGAAGCAAGAGGAAGAAAGGGAGATGTCAGTGCCTGGAAGCTTCTTGTGAGCAGGAGCTCTGAAGCAGAGCAAGGTTATTCCTCTTGCACCACAACAGGTTCCCGGTGGCCATGTCAAATCCTCTCTCGCTAGGACTGCAGATCCCTGTCAGCAGCTTTTTGTAAACACACAGCAGCACTAGAGCCTTTGAAACTCTGTGAAACAGCTGCAACCTGGAGCAGATGAACAATGCTCTGGTGGTGGGAGCTGAGGCATGCTTCCGCAGCCAGCAAAGAGAGGGGAGGGAGAAACTCTCCCAGCCGAGAGCCAGACTTCCGAGTCCAGTTAGTAATATCAGATAGCAAATAGCAAACACAGTGACACCCAGACAATTCCATGGCCTCAAGCCAGTCACTGCACTCTGGACTAATTGGCCACTAGGGTCATGTCTACACTAGGAAATTATTTCCGCATACTAACTCCTGAAATAACTATTTTGAAATAGCATGTCCACACTACAGGGAAGCCTCAAAATTAGACTGAGGCAGGCTCCCTTAGGCTATGTCTACACTGCACAGTTATTTCGGAATAAGCTATTCTGGAAAAGTTATTCCGAAACAGCTTATTTCGAAATGGCATGTCTACACTGCTGGGAAACCTCAAAATTAGTCTGAGGCAGGCTTCCCTAATGCAGATGTGCTATTTCAATTTAGAGCCCCAGGAGAAATAACTTAGAATGGCCCTGGTACGGAGCTATTTTGAAATAGCAGCAATGGAACGTCTACACATACCTTATTTTGAAATAGTTATTTCGGATTAGGCATAATTCTTCATAGAATGAGTTTTATTTTGGTCCATTATTCCAAAATAACTTTGCTCTGTAGACACCCTTAATGTGGACGCGCTACTTTGATTTAGAGCACCAGGAAACACTGGGGAGTAATTACTTTCAATGACTTTGGGGAGTAGTTATCTTGAAATAGCCGCAGTGGAGTGTCCACACTGCCGCTATTTCGAAATAAGCGTTATTCCTCGTGGAAAGGAGGAGTAGGTATTTTGAAATAACCAGCCTGTTATTTCGAAATAACGGGCTTGATAGAGTGGACGCTTCACTTGTTATTTCAAACTAACTCCCTAAAGCAGACCAGGGCAAACTGAGGTTTCCCTGCCCCCCATCGAATAATTGTTCTATTATACAGGAGGCCCCCGACTTGTGACGCGATTGGTTCCGGAGGAAGCGCCACAGGTCGGGGGTGTCGTAACTCGAACCCGCATTTACAGTAGGCACCATGCGCCATCGTAAATGCGGGCCAAGGACGTAAGTCGGGGGGTTCCGGCCCCTTCCCCACTTACAAAAATGGTTGTAAGTGTGGGGGGTCGGAACTCAGGCGGTCGCATCTCGGGGGCCTCCTGTAATTTTCTTTCAATTTAGAGGGGCTCCCCATCATGCTAGGAGGAGACTCTCCCTGACATCCCCGACTCTCCCTCTCCATACATCTAGCAGGAGACTCTCCCTGACACAAAGAACTTCTAAACAAATGAGAGAGAACAGGCGGGAGAAAGGGAATGTTATTAGTCCTGGTGCTCCCTATGCTGGGATAGGGATGGGGGACTGATGGATGGGAAGACTGAGGCCCAGGCAGCTGATTTCAATGGAAGCTAGGAGCCTAAATACCATTAAGGATCTGAGGCTAAGTGACTTGCACAGGGTTGCACAGGCAGTTGGTGACAGAGCCAGCCTAGGAGTTGAGCCCAGCTTTCCTGTATCCCGCCCCCAGCCCCTAACTGAGCATCCCTCCTCCCTATTATTATTTTTCCATCATCCATCCAGCTCTGCTACTTCCGTTGTTTGCCTTACTGCTGCTGTTCCTACCCTCACTCACATCCATGTGCCTAGGGGGCCCTTGCTTTATCTGCTAACATCTGCCACCTTGCAGCTTCCCCCAGGGGCCAGGACTCATGTGCAAGGTTGTCCAGATCAGTCTGTGCAAGTGTGGGTAGAGGGGTAGGGGTGTCAGCTCAGCTTCCTCCCTGCTCCTGGGCTAGGAGGCTCTTCCTTAAACAGCTCTGATCTTGGTATCTGGCTCTTTGTACTAGGAGGAGCTGCCTGCAGTGCGGAGCCCATGTACTTGGCAGAAGGGAGCCGCTGGCCACAGGAGCCTGGAAAAATAATCTCCGCTGGGATGAGGACCACTCCAATGACAACGGAAAGCGGAGCCTCAGCATTGTCCACAGGCAAGTTTTACTTCCGGCAGCAAAGAGTGGCGGCAATAAAAGGAAAAACTTACAATGGGGTGGAGCAAATTATCAAGGGGGCTGGATGGCACTAGGGATTGGTGATAGTTTAATGAGGCCTTCCCCTTTTAAAGTGGCTGCTTCAGATTCATTCACATTGGCCATTTAGGGGTTGTTTGGTAGCCAGTGTGTGTTGAATTTACTGGGTCTCTGCTCAGTTCCAGTGGACAAGTATCTCTCTAGCACACAAACCGCTGCCAATAACTGGCCACCTCAGAGGTTGACTTGCCTGCTAAGGAAATTAGCACCACCTGTAAGACAACCAGGTGGGGAAAATGAAGGTAATGTGACTGGCATGACTCACCAATCAGGCAGGCATGTAGATAAGGCAGGGTGGGGGCATGGGCAAAGAGACATTAGGTGCCAAGTTAGAGGATTGTGAAGGTTATTACAAGGTTTTTTAAGAAGCCGGGGACAAGTCCTTGCCAACTGGCTGGGGGGAGGCTGGATTACGCCCCCCAGCAGAGTCCCCTTTGAGAGAGGGCTGGTTTTGTTTTGAGTTTTGTATATCGAAAGTCTATTGCCCAGCCTGGGTGAAACTGGAGGAAAACTTTTAAAAGGGTTGGAGAGAAGCATAGCATGAGAACTGGAAGGGGGCCTGTATAGTCCCCTAGAAAACAGGGAAGGGTTTGGGCCTGGAAGGCCACCAGAAATTGTGGGAAGATTTAAAAAAACTATACCCCAGAATAGGAGTTTTGCTTCAGGTCGCTGATGGGCAACCTAGGCTAGTGAGTGGCCGGCCTTCATCTCAGTGGGCTTCAAGATTGTTATAACCAAGAGGGTTTCCCAGGATAGGGGACTTTTGCTTGTTGCACGTGTGTGTACCTAGAATTTGCAGGGAGTGCAGATGAAACCATAGCAGTGCTTTGATTGGAGGCAGAGGGAGTGCACTCTCTCACAGCTGATGTTGCATGCAATCAGCACCCATCTCAGTTCACATGCCTTTGCTTCATGTGCAGATCACTTTTGTAATACTAGCAGAAAAAAAATTACATGGGCAGAAACCAGGAAAATCTGGCAGCCCTGAATGTGGGCAATGGGAAACAAAAAGCCAGGCTTGCTCAGCGGCGGCTCATGCCGGATCCAGCAGCCCCTGTCTGCAGGATGTGGAACAGCCTCTGCTCACAGCAAGCCCCTGCCCCACACACCGTTGCGCAGCACCCCGGGGCAGAGCAGGGGGCACCACAGAGATGGTGCTGGGGGTGGAATTGGCTCCTTCTTCCCTCCCCCTTTGCTGCTTCTGTATCAGAGGGGGAAAGGGGAAGTGTGAGTAGCAGGCTTATTGAGTAGTCGACTACTTGCTTACATCTCTAGCTCCCTGCTCACAGCAAGCCCCTGCCCCACACACCGTTGCGCAGCACCCCGGGGCAGAGCAGGGGGCACCACAGAGATGGTGCTGGGGGTGGAATTGGCTCCTTCTTCCCTCCCCCTTTGCTGCTTCTGTATCAGAGGGGGAAAGGGGAAGTGTGAGTAGCAGGCTTATTGAGTAGTCGACTACTTGCTTACATCTCTAGCTCCGAGACTCTCTCTGTGTAAAACAAATGTTTTATATATATATATATATATATATATATATATGAACTTTTGAACTTTTGTGGGCTGCATGGAGGTAGTTTGGACTGGGGCAAGTGCCTAGGACATCCAGGGAAACTGAAGGGGGCGAGGGTCGCACCTCCAGGCACCATGTCTTGCCATGAGGGGTTGCTTTGGAGGGGGTGTCCTCAGCAGAGAAACCAGTGACTGAATGGACATAGAGACTGAAGTCTCTCATTCTTAACAAGAGTTTGCTCAGATCAGGGAAAAGAGGCCCTTAAAGTATGGAATAGGGGGTGGAGTGTGAAATCTGCCATGTGTGTTCTGTGCCTAAGTAGATTTCAATCCAAAACCTTTCAAATGTGCTGAACTCCCACAGAAATCTTAAATTAGAAATATTTCCAGTTATGAAGTGGAGTCTCTGCGAGGACTCAGAGCATGTTCTTTCTCTTACCAGGCAGATGAACTCTGTCGTGACTATTCCAGTTGCTGTTCCTTGTGTGGTGGATGCTGCAGAACTTCCATTGTCTCTGTGCTAATTTAGGGATGTAAAAGTGTAACCCACACACCTGGGCTGTGTCTAGACTGGCCAGTTTTTCCAGAAAATCAGCCGCTTTTCCAGAAAAACCTGCCAGCTGTCTACACTGGCCACTTGAATTTCCGCAAAAGCACTGACTTCCTACTGTAAGAAATCAGTGCTTTTTGCGGAAATACTATGCTGCTCCCAGTGCTTCTTGTGCAAAAGGGCCAGTGTAGACATCTCAGATTGTTTTCTGCAAAAAAGCCCCGATTGCAAAAATGGCGATCAGGGCTTTTTTGCGGAAAAGCGCGTCTAGATTGGCACGGACGCTTTTCCGCAAAAAGTACTTTTGTGGAAAAGCGTCCATGCCAATCTAGACGCTCTTTTCCGAAACTGCACGGAAAACTTTTCCGTTAAAAGCATTTCTGGAAAATCATGCCAGTCTAGACGCAGCCCTAGTGTGGTTCACTGTCCCATGTGGTGGCACTTAGACCGCTTACAGCAAGAAATAAGAACAAGGGAGCTCTTCAACAGTGGTCCCCAATGACATGGCACCCGCCGGGGCATTTACATGCGCCTGCCAAGTGCTCGGGGCCGGCCCTCCCCGGGCGTGTGACGAATGTGCGGCCCCGTGCCTGGATGCGCAGCTATGGGGGGCGCCGGCCCCAGACGCACGGCGTATGGGCGGCCCTGCACCCGGGCACACGGCGCATGGGGAGCGCCGGCCCCGGGCACGCTGCTATGAGGGTGTTTGCCCCCGGATGCGTGGCGAATGGGCGACCCTGCCCCTGGACGCGCGGCGCATGGAGTCGCCGCCCCCAGGCATCCAGCGCATGCACAGCTCCACCCCCGGGCGCCCAGCAGCTCCAAAAGATTGGGGACCACTGCTCTACAACCTAGTCTGAGTGCCAGCTGAGTTTATAGTTCAAGCTGTAGAGGCTCCTGTACTAAGCTCTGGAAGTCCCAGGTTCCAATCTGCCTGCTGGCAGTTACAAAAGGTTAACTTATAGGACCTCCTGTGGATAGGGGCTGCCCTGTGCTGGGCTAGGGGGCTGGAGCAGTGAGATCAGAGTCAGTTAACTAGCTAAGTGTTAGGTTAACATAATATCGGACTGGTTAGCTGATTTACAGTGATTTACTTCCCTTGCTAATGTGGCATTTAGTGGTTTTTTTGCTGTGAGGCTCATGTTGCCCTAAGATCGGATGAGCGATTTCACTGTGACTGGAGACTCTAGCCAGGTGATTCTCAGCCTTTTGGGGCTGAGGACTCATTTGTGCTGTGATTCAGTAAATATTCTGGGGGTGGAGCCCTTAGTGATGGTTTCAATTGGGTCCTGTCTGGCCCTCATCCTACACTGCTGTGGCTGGCCTTGTGTCTCAGCTCTGGGGGTGGCAAGCACTGGGGTTGCAGTGCTGCTCAGGTTTGACCTCATCTCCCTGACTGCATCAAATGTGTGTGAGTGGTGATGTGACCCGGCACATGGGGTTGCAGTGCCACTCACTCCAACTTGGCCTACCCGGACTCCCGTCGTCATGACGACTGGGTTGACCCTGGCTGATGCTAGGGTCCCGGAGGTTGCAGAGCCTGGAGCTGTGAGGCCAGCCCTGTTGTCCCGGTGGGACAGGAGCTGCCATGAATTGCTTTGAAACATTCTGGCAACTCAATTTTGAATCCTGACCCTCAGATTGAGGAAATGCAGCTCTAGCTGACTCCTGTCCTTGCTGACAGCCTACCCCAGCTCAAAATATGTCGTCATAACCACCCAGAATGCATTCAGAAGGCACAACATGGCCTGTCCTGTGGAAGGTAACTCTTTACATCCGTCCCTATCTTTCAGAAAAGCCCTCCTGGCCAAACCATGGCCTGCTAGTGTTCTCTAATAGCAGCCTTCTGCCCCTGAATGAGTTGAGGGCATCTCAGAACTCTGCAATGGGCAACCCTTGAAAAGCCAATAACCTACCGCAAGCAAAATGAATATAGTGTATAGCAAGTGCTTTCCTAAATTACTGTGGTTCAGAAGATAGTGCCCTGGACTAGGTCAAGAGACCTATCTAACTTATGTAACCTTTGGCATGTCTCCTCACTTCTCTATGCCTCAGTCTCCCCTTGTATGTTCAGTCTGCGAAGGTCGGGGCTGTCTCTTCCGTGTCCGTACAGCGCCTCGCCCGCTAGCGCTTGGTTCTTGGTTAGTGGTGCATTCGCAGCATTAGACAGCCTTCTGATGGGAGTATTTATGTTTCTGTCTCACTACACTGCCGTATTCAGAACAACACAAGCACCCAACAAGGGAGAGAGAAAACAAGCTGCTTCCTAAGGCAAGGAGGCACAACTCACCCCACCTTGTTTTAAGCTGGTTCTTTCCAGAATGACTCTGATCCGAGCCCCATTGCCTGCAAGCCAGGTTTTAGTCACACCCTACGAGTCCAACACAGTACACCACCATTCCGTCCTCTACATGCAACTGCAGTACAAATAATAATTATAATGCCCTGCACCAACTCACCAGTCTGCTCCCTCTCCCTGCAGAGCAACAACTTACCACATAGAGGAAAGCAAGCACTGCCAGCCCATTGCGTTTGTCTTTTGCTTCTTCAAAACTGGAGTAGTTGCCCGAGTTGTAATGAACAACGTGCAGCTGTTGGGGAACAAGACAATGTCAATCCAAGGCAGGGGACCGATGGTTTTGAATGAAGTCAAACAGGCCTTCAGCAACATGGGAAAATACTTCAGGGTTAAATTCTTCCTTCAATGACACTCATGCAGTTGTGCTGACATCGGTGCCCAGTGTTGGCAGAATTTGGCCCTAAATATTTTTCACAGAGCTGTGTTACTGAAGGGCTGCTTGATTGGGATTGTGCAGGTGTAACTAGAGTGGCAGTGTAGCCTACAGAGGGTAGGGTGTTGGACATAGGGGCTACTCCTGGCTCTGCCACTGATCTGCTGTGTGACCTTGACCAAGTTACTTCATCTCTGTTTCTTTTTTGTTTTTGGATGCAAATGCTTCAGGGCAGGGACTGAGTCTTGCTGTGTTTGTACAGCACCTAGCACACTGTGTCCCTTGTCACATTTTGGGCCTTTAGGTTTTAATGCAACATCCACTTTCTTCCTCTACTTTAAAGCTACTAGCTGCAGCTAGAGTCCTGCTATTGACCTTTAATGCAAGAAAACCTTTCTTTGCTTGTTACCTGTGCTCATGAACAGGTGCCGAAGAGATAGACCTTGTTCATCAGCAAATCTTCACTTTGCAAAGGACTGACAAAAGGAGTTAGTAATATTACTAGTAAACGTGATTCCCTCCTGTTTTTTTTAAAGTAGGAAGGAAAAATATCTCTGCCCCTTTCCCCCTTCTTTTGTAATGATTGCCATTAAAGAGCAGTTTGAGAAAACAAACGTTATGGATCAATCCAAACCCCACTGGCTGCCAGAATAATTTTTTTCCTTTTTCCTTTAATTGCGTTCTGGATCAAACCTCTTAGAAGGAAAAATAAAACGTATTAAAATATCCCTGAGTTCCTATTAAACGGCCTTTCCTAACTCTGCAGCTGCAAGCATCTGGCAGAGAAAGCATTTCCCATGCTTGTTGCTTTTGAAGGGTCTGTGTTTTGCTAGCAGCTCCCTTCTGTGAACTGATCTGTAACAGAATGGGCCCTGAGGCAAGCAGCTAAGATGGAGATTAATGTAGCACTGTATTCCCCTCCACATCACAATGCATATACTGAACTTTGGCCTGCCACTGTAAGCAAAGAGCAGCCATGTGGAAAAGGGTGGATAAAGCAGACCGGGAACCTTAGACTGTCAAGGGCTGGAGTCTTATTTCTAAATGACATGAAAGAGACTTGGCTAGTGGAATGTCAGAGCTTTTTCATTTTTCTCTCTTCCTTCCTGCTAGTAGGTTCTTCTAATTACCCTCCTCCCCTTTTCTTTGGCAATAGCAGCAACCCATCAGCCTGATGAAACTCAAAGCTGTTCCCAGCAAACTATAGGGTTCTGCCTCAGTCTCCTGATTGCCCATAGCATGCAGGATTGGAACCTGGCCACAAACAAATTTTGCTCCTAAGTTGTGCAATGTTGGCCCTTAATTTTCTACCTCCTTGGACCTTTTACAGCCATCTGAACAGGATGGGTGTAAAATGCACCCATATCAGAATCTTTCTTCTGTTCACATCAGTGGTAACATTTTACCTCTCACAAAGGGAAATGACTACCCAAGGCAGGGGTGAATCAGGCCTTGGACTTTAGTCGGCTGGGTGTAAATCTAGAGCAATGTAACTCGGACTGCCCTCTGTGCTTAAAACAATTCACAGGGAGCTGTTTGTGCTAACATAGGTTTTCTTTTAACATGGGATTTTGGGTGGAAAGAAGGCAGCCCCTCCCTCTCTGAGGACATATGTCTCCCTGTAAATGGGTACCTCAGCCAGGTATCTCATTCCATCCATGGTGTGTTCAGAGCCGCTGGTCTCCAGGTCCAGCCCACCCCAGTGCAGGTGCATCTGGACAGCGGTGTAGATGCTTGAGAGCCCTTTGGTGATGCGCATGGTGGGTGGCAAATCAATCTGGACTGCAAGGTGGGAGAAGATAACACAAATGGATGCAGCTGTTTCTGGTGATGCTGCAAATACTTAATACAGGGCACAATGCCTAGTGGGGAGAGCAGCTCCCCTGAAGTCAATGGCCCTGCTCTGGCAGATGGGGGAAGCACCTGGTGGCATAGCCTCTGTTCAGGAGAGCTCTGTCGACGGAGCCACGTGAAGTAGTTTACTTGACATAGTCAATGAAGCGGGGATTTAAATAATCCCTGCTTCATTAAAATAAAAATGGCCGCCGCGCTGTGCCAACAATCAGCTGATCTGGCACAGCACGGCAATCTAGACGCAATGCGGTCGACAAGGGAAGCCTTTGTCAATTGCTCCGGTAAATCTCGTTTCACAAGGCATACCGGAGCGATCTGAGGAAGTGGGTCTGGCTCATCAGCTAATAAACCATCTTGTTAGTCTTTAAAGTGCTGCATAGTCCTGTCTTTTGTTTCAGCAAGACCAGACTAACACGGCGACATCTCTATTACTATGTAGCATGGACACTCTAATTGACTATTTCTTTCCCCTTTTTTCTTCCCCCCCCCCCCCCCCACTCGAACTTTAATAACTCCAGTCATCTGAAGAAGTGGGTTTTGCCCACAAAAGCTCGTGATACCATCGATATGTTTTGTTAGTCTCTAAGGAACTGCAGGACTATTTGTTGTTTTTTAGGTAATGGAGATTAACCTTTAGCCTTCATTAAATAAATTGTTCTTTATACCTCAGTGGAGTAGGCTAAGAGGATTTAGGAAAAGTACTTGAAATAGTGTGGGAACTGAAATGAACCATTCTCTCTGGCCACGTCTACACTAGGAAACTGTCGAAGTTAGTAAATTCAACTTAACTCCTGATTTAACAAAATCGAATTAGCGTGTCCACACTATTGGGAAGCCTCGAAATTAGTCTAAGACAGGCTCTGTTAATGTAGATGCGCTGCCTCAGACTTAGAGCCCCAGGAATCACTGCATGTAATTAGTTTGAATTACTCTGTGGAGTAGTTATTTCGAAATAGCGGCACTGGAGGGTCCACACTTCTTTTGAAATAACTATTTCAGAACTAGCGTTACTTCTGATGAAAAGCAGGAATATAGTTTTTAATTAAGCAGCCTGTTATTTCAAAATGATAGGCTTGGTAGTGTGGACACTCTGCTTATAAATTCGACTTCAGGGGGGTTATTTCAAAATAAAGTCCTAGTGTAGATCAGGGCTCTGAGAGTAAGTTCAGAGATGCTTGGAATTTCACCAATGTAAGCTTTAATCATGTAGGTTCTGAGCACCCTCAATGCTTGTGTTCAGCCTCATTCAGAGTCAGTCCTTTAAAAACCAAAGAACCAAATGCTGCAATCTTTACTGAGGGTTTTCTAACCTAGAGAAATCCACGGGTCCAAACAAAACATTTCACCTTTTATAAACTCCCCCCTGCCTCCAAACTTGTCCATTAATTCAACCCAAGTTCACAAATTCTTTCCATCAACCTAAAACTATTGCTCCTTTTTTTTTGGCATAGTAGGCAGGTAAATAAACTATTTGCACTGGAACAGAGGGGAAGTTTTTCAAAATACCCATTTAACATCTCTATTCCCATCAGCTTCAGGTGTACAGAATCTCTCTCTCTGTGGCCTTGTCTACACGTGAAATTCTAGAGTGGGTCACATGTAGACAAAGTCCTGGAGGCAGTAGCTAGGTGGGTGGAAGAATTTTTCCATTGTAGGGAGAAGAGGGATGGTTACAGTGGGTTAACTGCATTGCTCAGGGCCATACATTTTTCACTCCTCTAAGCAAGGTTGCTGCCCTGACTACTTTTTAAGTGTAGACCTGGCTTGAGACTCTTGCCTCAGAGCACTATGAGGCGTTTTTTCCACTCCCCATAGAGTCTGCAGCAAAATTCTGCTTGACCATGAGCAGGTCTACACTTAAGATTCACACTGCGGTGACCAGTCCCCCAGGGGTTGATTTAGTGGGTCTAGTAAAGACCTGATAAGTCAACTACCAATTGCTCTCTTGTCAACCCTGGTACTCAGAGCCATCCTTTCCATAGGATGGTTTGGGGCAACGGCTCCAGGCCCTGTGGTTTGGGGGACCCTGCAGCGGCTGCATCAACCATCCTTTGGATGGGTTCCAAGGCAGCCCAGGCAATTACTGGGGGCCTGGGATAGGGTGGCAGCAGGGGTCACCCCCCCTCCCGCACTCATCTCAGTGGCAGAAGCCGGAACAGCCCATCAGCCTGTTCTGCTTCACTCTTCTGCCCTCTCCCAGCCTGCTGAGGTTGGCTTCATCATGGTGGCGGGAAGCAGGGCGCAGCAGGCTGGGAGAGGGCAGTGTGGCAGGGCAGAGCAAAGCAGGCTGCTGGGCTGCTCTGGCTCCTCCTGTCATGGTAAGTATGGGAGTTATGGCTGACCCTTGCTGCCACTTCATGCCAGGCCCCCTCAGTAAACCTCTGGTTCGTGTCGCCCGGGGGACAGGGTTTTGGCAAGAGGGCAGGGATGGGGCTTGGAAGGGCTGGAGCAGACGTGGGTTAGGGTCTACAGTGGGGAGGGTAGCCCCAGACACTGAATCTTGGGCACTGGGGGGTTGCCCCAGGTCCTATGTCCCCCTAAGGACAGAACAAGATGCATAATAAGGGAAGTTGATGGGAGCGTTTCTCTTGTTGACACCCCCCGCAGTGGAGACCCTGCAGTAACTCGACCTAAGGTCTGTCAAATCCAGCTACGCTATTCACGTAGCTGGAGTTGCACATCTTAGGTCGACATTGTTCCATAGTGTAGACCTGCCCTACAATACAGCTGTGCATAAAGACTCTGGGATTCAGCTCACATTCCTTATTAAAATGGTCTTGGCAGGCAAGTTGGTATTTTGATGTTATTGAGAATGTAGGAAAATACAAATGGGGATGGGAGGCCTGAAAGAGAAAAGCTGCAGGACTTAATGTGCAGGTAGTGAAGCTGATAACACTGACACCAGAAGCCTCCAGTAAATGGTTGGGTGTCTGTGTGACAAACAGGCTTTCTTAACCATTATGGATTCTGAGAGAGACAATTAGCACTGGCTCTTTCAGGAGACAATACGTTTCACCACCTGTGTCCCTCCCCTGCATCTCTTTCTTCTCCCTGTGCATATGGAGGAGTGAAGGACTATCAGTCTGGGATAAGACACCCCACAGAAGATAGGGAATCATCTCTTCCTTTGGTGGAAGCCTGAAATCTCCTCCCCCACCCATGCCAGGAAATTCTTTACTTGGGGATGCATCATTTAGGTAGAAACAAAATACAGGACTATGTAGCACTTTAAAGACTAACAAGATGGTTTATTAGATGATGAGCTTCCATGGGCCAGACCCACTTCTCTGGCCCACGAAAGCTCATCATCTAATAAACCATCTTGTTAGTCTTTAAAGTACTACATAGTCCTGTATTTTGTTTCAGCTCCACCAGACTAACACGGCTACATCTCTATCACTATTCATTTAGGTAGGGCGTTACAGTAGGCTGAGCAGAGGGCTAGGAGCCAGGAACTCCCAAATGCTAACCCGGCTGGCTTACCAGGGTGTCTCAAGCAACTCACAAAGGTCCTGGCACCTAAAAGTATATGGGCCAGCAGCTAAATTCTGACTGATATCAAGCCCCTTAGAGTTTCTGTTTCCGTCCTGTAAGACAGGGCTGATAATACTGGCCTACCTCAAAGAGCGGTGGGGTGGATTCATTTAAGGATTTTTATAAGTGGCTTTGAAAACAGGTGGTCTGATTTTTTTTTTCCCCCCTCTTCCACCTTGCTACCTTGTGTCATTTATATCTGTGCAGGGAGGTTGCAAATCAGTCACCCCTCCCCCACAGTTACCCTTCCATTGATGTGAGTGGAGAAGTCTATTTTCCTAGCAGACAAACAAAGGATGAGGCTGTGCAAAGCCAGGGAGAAGCTGGCCCCAAGTGCAAGGTTTTGTAGTTCTAGTACCATCCTGAGGGTGTACTCACACACAGGAAGAAAATGCCAGTGTATAATGCTGAATCTGCCTTTTATCACTCTTGTCCCCCACCATGTCTCCTAGAGAAATGCAAACAAACTCTACTTTCTATTGACTGTATGAGTGTTGCTGACAGGCTTTGCCAGCAATTTAATACAATCAGCAAAATTAGGAGACTAGAATTAAATAGATGACAAAGTGGGAAACTGAAATAAGAGAGATCAGGACAGGGGAGCTTGAAAAATGACCTTTGTTTGACAACAGGATTTCTGTCTGCTAAAAATATTCCCCACATCTCAATAGTTTTCCTGTACACAAGTGCACTGAATAACTCTCTCAAAGTATCCGCTCAGCAAGGAGAGAGAAAGAGAATATCTCCCCTCACTGGCAGGAGTCAATGCTGCTATCAGCCAGCTAATACGTGGCACATGCCTGCTATATGTAGCCTTTGGGGCAGGGAAGGTCATTTCACAAGACCCTGCTGCTTACCTGAGTGTCCATTGTTGGTCATTGTGAAGTTCCCTTGCAAGGGGCCGTCGTAACCACTCAGCTCTAGCTGCATCAACTGTGGATTGTACTTCACTTTCCTCTTCTGGATGTCAATGGGCGACTGGTGCTTGCCAGCGCAGTCTGCAAAGTGCTTTCCCCAGTGCTCTTCATCCAGTGCTCCTGCTGCAAAGCCGAGGAGAAGCAGAGCAGGCTTTACAAAGTGCCACAAGCAGTGTTCCCTCTAAGCTGAGTGCTTGGGTGGCTGCCAAGGAGTGATTCAGGTGCTGCCCTGCTAATGAGCAGAGTGCCCACAGCCGGCAGCATGAGTTTCTAATGGTGGTACACATGCATTGGTGTATAAAACAAAATTTATTCCACACATGAAAAATTACAAGCCTTGAATGCTGCTGGGGATGAGTTGTTACTTGCTCAGCAGCAAAGCCTCCCTTTCTGGTCATTATAATGCCAGGAACTGCCTTCTGTTAGGCTGTGTCTAGACTGGCAAGTTTTTCCGCAAAATCATGTGATTTTACGGAAAAACTTGCCAGCTGTCTACACTGGCCGCTTGAATTTCCGGAAAAGCACTGACGATCTCCTGTAAAATCATCAGTGCTTTTCCGGAAATACTATGCTGCTCCCGTTCGGGCAAAAGTCTTTTTCCGAAAGACTTTTGCGCAAAAGGGCCAGTGTAGACAGCAAAGTATTGTTTTACGCAAAAAAGCCCCGATTGCAAAAATGGCGATCAGGGCTTTTTTGCGGAAAACCGCATCTAGATTGGCCACAGACGCTTTTCCGCAAAAAGTGCTTTTGCAGAAAAGCATCCTGCCAATCTAGACGCGCTTTTCCAAAAATGTTTTTAACGGAAAACTTTTCCGTTAAAAACATTTTCGGAAATTCATGCCAGTGTAGACGTAGCCTTTGTGTGAAAATCTGCATCATTGTGGCTGCAGGACCACTGCACTACCAGGCAGGAAACCTGCCTCTCTGTAATAACCCATCTCCCCTCTTGGCTGGGGGATGAACTGGGATTGAAACAGAACAGGTGTTTGTACAGACCGGGGTGTTTATATCTATTCCAGGGGCCAGATGCATGAAGTCTGGGTCTTTTGCAATGAAAGCTGTGATCGGTGCTGGGACAAACAGTAACACTGATCAAACGGTATCATTCTGATATCAATGAAAGCTGTGAACGGTGCTGGTCTCTGGGAATGGGGGCCTGCAAAGGACTGTCGGCAAATTGTCTGCCGTTTTTTATTATTATAGGCACTATCAAGGGAATAAGGACTGGACATGGAGAAAGGGTTTCATATCAATTCAACCTTTTAAGTTTTTTCCTGACTCCCATCTGGATTGCTCTCTGGGGCTTCTTTGGTCCCTTGAATGTTCTCTGCTAAGAAACTAACTGGTCAGTGCTTTACTAATCAGGACTGGCACTTTCAATCCCACCTTTCATTTGAGGATCACAAACCTATGTATGTTCACTGATTGAACCACATGCCAGGGATTCTCAGCCTTTGTCTTTCTGAGCTCCCGCTCCTCCAACATGCTATAAAAACTCCATAGCCTACCTGTGCCACAACTGCTTTTCTGTTTGTAAAAGCCAGGGTACATGTTAGTGGGTAGCAAGCCTGAGGACAGCAATGCAGGGAGCAAAGGAGGAAGTTGCCTTGGGGCCTGATGATTCATTTAAATCACCAGTGAAGTGCTATGCAGCTCTGAGGGCTGGGAAGGGAGGGTGGCATGGATAGTATGGCTCAGGGCTCCATTCCCCAGGGGTGGGGAGTAGCTTTCCTCCCTGGGACCCAGCATATCTAATGCTGGCCCTACTTGGTGAACCCCGTGACACCTGCTCATGGCCTCCCAGGGAAGCTGGACCCCTGGTACAGAACCACTGCCACTCTGTAGGGTATGTAAATAGTACAAATTCCTACTGTGACACATGGGTAAACTGAAGTATGGGGCATTGGGGCACATCTAAACTACATTCCCCTTTCAAAAGAGGAATGTAAATGAAGCCAATCGAAAATGCAGATGGAGCGCGGATTTACAAATCTGGCACTTCATTTTCATAATCATGTGAGTGCGCTTTTTCAAAAAAGGGTTTTTCAAAAAAGAAACTTCAGTTTAGATGGGGTTCTTTCGAAATCCCTCCCCCCTTTTTTGAAAGAACCCATACTCCTGAAAAAATGAGGTGTACAGGTTCTGTCAAAAAAGTTTTTTTTTCTGAAAGAACCCCATCTAGACTGCGGTTTCTTTTTTGAAAACGTGCTCTCACACAAGATTTGTAAATTCGTGCTTCATTGGCATTTTTGATCAGCTTCATTTACATTCCTCTGTCGAAAGAGGAATGTAATTTAAACATAGCACTTTGTCACAGAAGTAGAAATAGAACTCAGGATTCCTGGTTCAGCACTCATATGCACTAAAACCACTAGCTAAAATCCCCTCCTTTCTAATACCTTTAATATATAAACCAACAAACTCCCTGCTTCAATTCAATCTAAGTATCTAACACCTTCTCTTGCCCCAATCCCAGTGCCATCCAAAAAACCTATCTCGCTGCTTTCATCTTTGAAGGGTCTTTGCTCTCTCTGTACAGTTTTATTTAGCACTTTATGACTAAATAGGGATTTTTATGTGCTCTCAGTGCTCTGGCTGGGAATCCATATGGAAACCCATTCTTCCTTTTCCAGCAGTTCTTTGCCATTTACAATATGTTGATCTAGTTCAGAGTCAGAATTTCAGAATTACCAGAGCCAAGGTAAAGCCTTACGCAGTTGTTGAAATCTCTGAGGATTTTCATTGCAGCAGTACAGACTGATGGTCTGGCTTTTTCACATTTTTAAAAACTCTTTTAATGGTTCAAAACTATTTCAGCACCTGCCCCGTGTTTTCTTGTTATTTCTTCATTGATTTCCACGGCATCATTATAAACCTATTGCAACAGCTGAGACTTTTCTTTTTCATTTTACTTGGGGGGGAAATCAGTTTTTTTTAATTCTCAGACATGTCCTGATGACGTAATTGCACCGAGGTTCATGAAACATGGATGGAAAGATTTTTAAGATAATTGCAGTAAACAGTCTAGTGTGCTAATTACAATAAAAAAAATTGAAACCAAAAACTTTAGTTCCCCCACTGTGACAGTCGGCTTGAGAGCCCATTAAAATCAATGGAAATGCTCCCACTGACTTGAATGAATTCTGAATCAGACCTCCCTGAAAAGAACTGAGAATTAAGCAAAATTTCACATGAGGGCAAATATGCAAACAAGCAGTCCCTGCTTCTGTATCCATGTTCCACAGGCTGTGAAAGTAAAATAGTGAGCAAGCAGTATCCAAAGAGAAAGCTCTTCTTTTCTTTCCAGGATCAGAAAAAGGTCAGCTTTTATTCTAAAGCACTGTAAAGATTTTTCTCGTTGGTTGCCACCTATTGTTCTGTCTGATAATGTGTCCTGATCACACAAAGGAATGGAGGAGGCTGACATTGAAAAGAACCAGCTTTAAGATACATGATCATCAATAAAGGGAAATAAATTAGCTGCCTTGAGGGATTTTTTTTTAAATAGTCAAGATGAAAAGCCAAGCGTTAGCTGTCTTAAGCAACCTGGTGGAGCCAGAAGCATTTAAAAAGCAGTTGTTTCTTTCCTTGTATTCATTACCTTTATACGTCCACTGTGTTACATGAGAGGTGCTGAGGTGGACAAGGAGCAGGTGCAGCAAGGTGGTTGAAATCCTCATGGCTCTTGTAGTGTCTGAAATCAGAACCAAGCCGGGGGATGCATTTCTCTGACAATCCCAGGAAGTGTAAAAAACAATTTATTCAAAGTCCAGCCTGTCCACTATCCGTCCCACCCTTCTCCTCTCCCTGCTGAAACAATCACCACCACCACCACCCGGGATATTTAACGTGGGCTGCCAGCTACACACGCTAAAAACATTTTATTGATCCCCTAGCAGAGGCTGCCAGTTCTAATGAAACAGGTTATCCTGCTAATGCCCGTAAGGTCACCTTCTGACAGGCACTTGATTTATATTTTTCTGTCCACTTTTTCTGTCTGGTTGCTCCCACTGAACAGGGATAAAAAACAGGACTACGTAGCACCAGACTAACACGGCTACATTTCTATCTCTATTGAACAGGGATGTGAGCTTTCATACCACAGTGCCCTGCAGAGCTCAAAGCAGCTTCATTCCTCAGACAAAGAGTCTGAGACAGAAAAAGGTTAAGTGACTAATTCTCAGAGGTGCTAAGTAATGTCCTTTCAATTTTTTCCATCCATGTGCAGAATAAACTTTGTTATGTGCGCTGAGGCATGTGCAGATGTGCACCAACAGTAGAAACACATGTTGCTGGCTGTGGGTGCTTTGCTAATCAGCTGGGCAGCATTTGAATCTCTCCTGGGTGGCTGCCCAAGTGCTCAGCTTACTGGGAACACTGGTGATGAGTATCCACAGTTATATTTGAAATCAATGGGACTTTTAGGTGCTCAACCCCCACCAGCAGGGACAGATTTTCCTGTTAAAATCTATGGGATTTAGACACTACAAACTTTTGAGAATCTCACCAGGATGTCTCATTAGGTGCTTATATATCTTTAAAATATGGGCCCCTATGACTTGCCCAAGGTCACACAGCAAATCAGTGGCAGCGCTGGGAACATACAAGACCTCCAGGTCTCCTGTCTACCGTGCTGCAGTCCTGTTATTTGACTATGCCAGGGATGTCCAAACTTTTTTCAAAGAGGGCCAGATTTGATGAAGTGAACATGTGTGAGGGCCGGCCATTTTGCCTGACATTCTTTGAACCATTAAAATTAAATGCAAATTAACTATTTTATGCAAAGTTTATTGCAAACGGCATACTTTTCATTTCGTCACATGGATGACAAATCTAAACAGGTGTTAAATCACTCTGCCTTTCATATCTGAAGGCCAGATGAAAAAAAAAATCCAGGAAGCTGAAATATATGTCAGGAACATTGTAAAGTACATTACATATTATTGGTAATAAAGGTTGTCTGTCAACTTTTAAGTTCAAAAAATATGAACAGGAACATAACACCAAGTATACATGTTGTGTCCAAATATATTTATAACTGATTTAGACCAACTGACATTAACTGAGATTTTACAATGTATTCATCTCAATACATATGGATTCGTTGGGGGCCATAAAAGATAGATATTGCCAAATTACCTGGGGGGCCGTATTAAACCGGAACACGGGCCGCAATTGGCCCGCGGGCCGGACTTTGGACATGCCTGGACTATGCTAATATTGTAAGAACAACCTTTGCAACCTGTGCCCCTCTCTGCCTAATAAACCTCTACTACAAATACCCCCAAACCAAAATGAATAATCAAATCAAAGTGCCTCCTGGAAGCTGAGTTTTAATCTCAAAAGGGAGAAATGTGCACTAAGTACTTTGCTATTGTCATGGATTTTACATGGAAGGTGCTTAGATACTATGGTAATGGGCAGATAGATCATGTCAATCAATCTCCAGTACTTTTACCACCACCATCTCCGCTAGTTTTAGTAAAGTTGTGCTGTCTGTATTACAATGATGACTTTAGGAAGCTATTGCAAAAACAGGTACAGGAGTTGCAGATCTCACTTAAATGTGGCTTTCTGGGGCTTTGCATCAAGCTGAAGAATGGGAATTGATGTTTTGTATTTAATCGATCATTTGTCCATGAATGATTCATTTTAAAAGGCCTGCCTGCTTCTCTCTCCCACACAACATTTGGGACCAACTATACTATTGAGGGTACATCTACACAACAGCGTTATTTCAAAATAATGTTGAGCTGGAGGATTTCTTACTCTGACTCCTGCAACCCTCATTTCAGGAGACATAAGGGAAGTCGAAGGAAGAATGTTCTTCCTTTGACTTCCTGCTGTGTAGGTGTCTTCCTGGTGTGCAGACAGCAATTGACGTTGCTGATGTTGCGTATCTTAATTCGACTTTTGACCAGATGTGTGGACATACCCTGAGTTACTTAATCACATTAATACTACTGAGTTACTTAATCAGATGTGTGTTTTCACTCCCCCCCCCCCCCCCCCCAACTGTGTAAGGACTGAACTAATTAAACAAGCCTTGCAATGCATTTCATAATCTTGTGTATCCAGTTGGGTAAATAGTCCTTGGATTTAGCTGAGGGAGAAATTTTAGAAGTTTATACCTGTTTATGTTCCAGAATTCTACACAGGACCACACTGGAGTACTCACAAGTCACTGGATCAGAGGTCACTTCTGCACCAACGCAAGCCTGACTTGCATTGAACAGGGATGTTATTTAGGGACAGTTGGTTTCCCTGGCCAGTCCTTTATTGATCAGCTCCCTAGGGACTACAAAGAGGTTTTGAAATGAAGCCTATTGCAAGCTTGTGCTGCTGCCAGCATTGATGCTGGTGGAGTAAATTCATGTTACGTGGTGCTGATATGCTCAGTGTCCAAGCTGTGGAATTTACTTTGAGTTTTTGGGAGGATAAACAAGCAGTTTAGGCCAAGACTGGTCACTAATTATGGGAACTTAACATATTTTAGAGCCCAACCTGAGACAGCCCATGCACACTTTCTCCTAAAACTCCAGCTGAAATCAGCAGGCACTGCAGGAGCTATGCAGCTCCAGAAATTCACCCCGGGGGCATATCTTCACTATTGTCTTTGGGCAGCGATCGATCCAGCAGGGGGCAATTCGTGGTAAATCGACTGCTGGAGTGCGCTCCCATCGTAACCAGAGTTGACGGGAGAGTGCTGTCAACTGACCACAGCGAAGGCACCACAGTAGGCAGACCTAAGTACATCGACTTCCGCTATGTTATTCATGGAGATGCAGTTGCGTAACTTAGGTCAACAGCCCGTGGTAGTACAAACAAGGTCTGAGCGTCTCAGGCCCGGCAACCAAAATTAGCAGCCATTTTTGAAAATGTTGGCCTGGGGTTTGTTCCGATTCCAGGGGCAACTTATAGAATCTAATGAGGGTAAGGGGGGAAAAACCTCATGGACAAGGCACCCCTTTGATGCTACCCGGGAGCCCCAGTCACCTTTCGGAGTAAATTGTACCCCCCATCTCTTCCCCATGACATTAGAAGCCAGACTAAAAGGAACAATCCCTGGGTGGCAGAAGACAGCTCTGATAACCTAAGACAGTGTTTCTCAACCTTTTTTTTTAAAGTATCCTTTTCTTTTAAAAAAATATTGTAAGTACCCCCAAGTACCTACAGTTTTCAAACCCACCAATTTTTTTTTCTACCATAGCAACACACTTGTTTAAACAACTTAATTGTAGCTGGATGGGTGATGAAATGTTGGGGTATAAAAAATACAAAATAATAAAGCGCTGTAAAACTTAAAACAAAAATTAAGTTTTCTCCAAATTTCAGTTGTGTTGACGTACCCCCCAGACTTCTCGCAAGTACCCCTAAGAGTACTCGTACCACTGACTGAGAAACACTGACCTAAGACATCTTTGCCATCTCTAATGCTTATTATGGGCTAGATTCTTATCAGACAAAGCACAACTGACTCTAACTGGTGCTCCTCCACTAATTTACACCCTGTGATATTCTGAATCTGATTTGCCCTTCAGAGTGAGTTTCACACATGTCTCTAGCAACTCAAAGAACTAGTAATGGCCTTGCACTCCACATGTAGCCTGCAGTTATATCAAAATGGTGGTGTGCACCTTTTGGGGGGTGGGGAGGAGATAGCTGCCCAGAGCCCAGCAATTTAAAAGGGCCTAGGCTCCTGGCCACTGCCATCTCGGCAGCAGTGTTCCCTCTAATTGTTTCCATCCATGTGTGAAATAAATGTTATGTGCACTGAGGCATAAGTGAATGTGTACCACTAGGAGAAACACATAGTGACGGCTTTGGGCACTGTGGGTGCTCTGCTAATTAGCGGCGCGGCATTTGACTCTTTCCTGGGTGGCTGTCCAAATGCTCAGCTTGCAGGGAACACTGCGTGGCAGCTGCAGTGGCTGGAGCCCTGGGCCCTTTAAATTGCCGTACCCTGGTAGGTCTCAAGGTCTGGCTGGGGGAGGCTAGCCCCATCCCCAATTCTTCTGTCCAAGGCCCTGCTGGAGCCAGCTTGCCCCAGGTCCTGGTGAAGTCTCTCATCAGCCCTGCCAGTTTTGTCATAAACAGCAACATCTAAGCAAGGACAGTCTGACTGCACCTGTAAATCCACCCTTCACTGCTGTAGGGCTGATCCTTTTTAGAGCCTCAAGTGATTTAACTACTCCTTTTCAGTCTGTCTTCCTAGCTCTGCAGAAAGTGAGTCACTTTATACAATGGTGGGTGGAAAGAAATGACACTCTAGATATCATGCTAGCCCCCTACAGCTCAGTAAATATGGGATCTGCTCTGAAGACAGATGCAACAAAACCTTTGTAACTGTACATGCTAAGCAAATTCAAAGCTCAAGTGCCTGGCAGGGTTCCCTGTAAGCTGTGCGCTTGTGCTGCTGCTCAGGTGAGATTCAAATGCTGCCCAGAAGATTAGCAGAGCGCCCACAGCTAGGTTTTGTGTTTCCATTGGTGGTGCACATTCACACATGCCTCAGTGAATATAAAATTTATTCCACACATGGATGGGAAAATCCACACATTGGTGGAAAAGATAAGCGGGACCATTGGTGCCAGGACCCAGGCTGGTTGACACAAAGGTCAGGAAGGAACTTCGACTTCTGTAAAGCATTGCACAGATGGACAAGTGCATTCTGTGCAAGTTCTGCCTTTCTAT